TTCCTCCTCCTTAGATTTCTAGTTCCAGGGGTCCCAGGTTAAATGTGATTTCCAGATAGATATAACTAATTACAACTAATATACACAAATAGTGGAATGCCTTATGCAGCTGGTGCAGCTACCTTTCCCTCCTTAGGGCCTTATGACTGCATGTTGGGCCTCCCAGATCTCCTTGGTGAGGCCAGTATTTCCTGGGGAACTTCCTTGAACTCATAAGACGCATGCACTATTTTATGCTTCCATAGTATTGTTTCCATTGCGTGGAATGCCACTATAATTTTTTTTTTTAAGTTTGTGCATTCCCTAGTGCTTTTGTGGGAATGCATTCTTCTGAAGGAAGTCAAAAAGTGTTGAGGTTCGTGTCTGGGTTAAAGGAGTTAAGCATAAAACCAATATGTGTGGAAGAAGAATCAGGATGTAGGGAGGACTTCCCCAGGCCATGGCATTGGGGGGAAGGGGGTGATAAATTCCTCCTCCTTAGATTTCTAGTTCCAGGGGTCCCAGATTAAATGTGATTTCCAGATAGATATAACTAATTACAACTAATATACACAAATAGTGGAATGCCTTATGCAGCTGGTGCAGCTACCTTTCCCTCCTTAGGGCCTTATGACTGCATGTTGGGCCTCCCAGATCTCCTTGGTGAGGCCAGTATTTCCTGGGGAACTTCCTTGAACTCATAAGACGCATGCACTATTTTATGCTTCCATAGTATTGTTTCCATTGCGTGGAATGCCACTATCACCTCTTTCACCCTAACCCCTCACTACTCTCCAATAAAATGCCACCTGTCTTTGACTTATCAAACTGTACTGTAATGGTTTGCCTTTCTGACTCCTTTAGTTTATTATCCTCTGCAATGCAGGAACTCTGCCTAGGATAGTGCTTGATATATAATAAGCACTTAATAATTTACTGATTTGGTGATTGAACAAACTAATAAATGAACAAATGAGAGTCAAACTTAAGATCCACCTATTTTATAAACTTTTTCTATCGTTGACCTATACTAAAACCCAGCTTACCTGAGGAACTTTATTTCTAATGTACACTTACACTATTTCCCCTCTCTTACTGCATTTGTTGGGCACATATTATGTGCAAGACACTATGGGATCTCACTTAATCCTCATGACAACCCCCTGATATAGGTACTGTTATTATCTCTACAGGTACATGAATAGTCTCAGGAAAAGTAGGTGGCTTGGCCAAGGTCATGGAGCTGGGAAGTGACAGAGCCAGGATCTGTGCCCAGGCAGTCTGAATCCAGAGCCCACAGTCTTTTCTCCACATCGCAGAAGTCCTATGTGTCCTTCAGGGCTACACATAGACCCGACTTGCTCAGGAAACATTCCTGCACTTATCTTCATTGCCTGTTCTCTTGTCTCCCCATTAGACTGTTGGCCCTGTGACGAAGGAATTGTGTTTTCTCTTTTTCCCATCATCTCATTCTATATGGCACCATCTTGTGAAGTTGTTAGAAAAAGGATTCCTGTCTGTACTGAGCAGATGAGGAAATGGCGACCTGGGATGTGTCTAATTTTACATAGTCACTCTCTGTCAGAGCCAGGGGTGGAACCAAGGTCTTCAACTCTAGTTCCAGCCTTCTTCCTTGGATGAAAATTCTCTCACTAATCACAATTCAGGGCACATGATAAGAGTTCATGGAAGTCTAGAATTGCAAGAAACCACAATGATTACCTAGGTAAATGTCCTCATTTTAGACAGTAGGCCTAGAAAAGAGAGGTGACTTATTTAAGATGGGGGAGAAAGGTAGTAGAAGGATTGGAGTCATGAGAGAAGAGAGAAAGAGAACTTGCAGTCAGAAGATCTGGGGTATGGGGCCAGCCCCATGGCTCACTTGGGAGAGTGCGGTGCTGGTAGTGCCGAGGCCGTGGGTTCGGATCCTATATAGGGATGGCCGGTGCGCTCACTGGCTGAGCATGGTGTGGACGACACCGTGCCAAGGGTTATGACCGCCTTACGGGTCAGGAAAAAAAAAAAAAAAGATCTGGGGTATAGTGCTCACCCTGACACTTAGTTATTTCTGATTCACATGTAATACGAAGTATAAATTATTCAGATTCAAACCAAGTTGACAAGGACTTTCCTGTCATTGTCTTTGTCCTATATGCAAAGAATAGTTTTTCTCTTAGTAAACATCTCTCCATTTATTCCATTTGGCACTGGCACTTCTTAGTGCTTTGCTGTTTTGTTTTGGTTTTTTTTCTTGAGTTGTGTTCTCTCTCAGGCTCCTGGACGGCTCCTCCCAGCTGTAAGCCTCTCCACCTGCAGCCACCTCCCACCCCATCCTCTCACCAGCCTTCTGTCTCCATCACAGATGCCAAGTCAGCCAGTCAGCGTTGCTTGTCTCCCTTCCAGCTGTGCTTCACACACCCAACCAGGGCCATTTCCTGGTTACCATCCTGAAGCAGCACTGCAATTGCTAAAATATTAATGGCTTCCTTTGTGAAAAATAACACTGTGAAGCTTCCTATTGTAAATTTAAATTGCCAGAGAGGCAGAGACAATGAAATGGAGGAAATAAGCAAAATCATAATATGAAACAGCCTTTCAGAGTTGAGGCAAAAGAAGACATCCTTAGCTCAGCCTTCCCCATTGCAGTGCTGGGATCTTGCAGTTGGAAATGCAGTCACCACTCTCTGAGATTGGCCATCTTGACCACCTAGGTGGGGTGTATAACATGGTGGATGACCCCTGGGGTTTTGCCTGGCTGGCTCCTCTCCTGGGTACACAGGGAGACAGGACAAAGGAAGAGCAGCACAGATCAGAAAAGAAAACGCAAACTACGTGGATAAAGGAACTAGAGGCTTCCGGTGGTTCTGAATGCATGTGGCATACTGGGGCAAGGAGATTGAAGGGTGTGAGAAAAAATCAGGCTGAGACTCAAAGGCAAAAAAATGTGGTTCCATCCTTTGTCTAGTTCTTAAATAAAGCACTTAGTGCTTTGTATTTTAATTATCTGATTCCCCAGACACACTGTCATCGCCATCATTGTATTCCTGATGCCTTACTTGGCACAAATCACAATGCTAAGCCATATATTTGAATAACCACAAAGAGAAGGGGTAGAGAACAAACACTGACTCAATATTTGCAGCATAGTAAATGTTAATATTTTTATTCCTTTTATAATAAAGAGAGTACAAAGGGCTGGGGACAGAGACATCACAGGAGGAGGAAAGATAGTGCCACCTCTGCAGAAGACACCCCTGAGCTACACACAGAAGGGAAGTGGATCCCTGGGGCAGACTTTCCCACCCAGAAGATCAGGAGAAATCCAGGTGAGTTTGTCAGTAGCTCCCCATGCCAGCCTCCCAGGAGTCCTGGGCATGCCTCCGGGTGCCAGTGACTCCGACTCCTTTTTCCATTTGCCAGAGCAACCTAGTTACTCTCATCTACCCAAGTTCCCAATCTGAGTTCCATTCTCTGACTTTCCTCTTCTTTCTTGTTTTGTTCTTACTTGAGACCGATTCTCACAGGTTCCCCTGGTCCCTGCACTCATTTTCATCATGTTCATCTTCTAATTCAGGAAATACCTCCAACCTTAGGTCTTTCAGCTCTGCCCCCAAACCTTCCCACCTCCCCATTTACCCCCCCCCCCCCCCCC